GTTAAGTGCCATCGAGTCGGTTCCGACCCATAGCGACCCTGTACAGGGTTTCCGAGGCTGTAAATCTTTACGGGAGCAGAATGCCTCATCTTTCTCCCGTGGAGCAGCTGATAGTTTCGAACTGCTGGCCTTAAGGTTCACAGCCCGATTTGTAACCACTACGCTACCAGAGCTCCTTATTTGAAAGTAGACCATTCAATAAATTTTTAACTTCCCTAATCATTACTGCATATTAAATCAATAGCTATTCACCACAAGAAATCTATGCCTATAAACTTATGTTTCCTATCTCTCTCTGTTGTTGTTAAGTGCTGTCAAATCGGTTGTGACTCATCACAGTGACTCTCTATAGGATTTCTGAACAGCGGCTGGTAGGTTTGAATCACCAACCTTGTGGTTATCAGTCCGTACTTATCCTACAGCACCACACCAGGACTCCACTGTTTCTCTCTTGTTGTTGTTAAGTGCCGTGGAGTCGGTTCCGACTCATAGCGACCCTGCACAGGGTTTCCGAGGCCGTAAATCTTTACGGGATCAGAAAGCCTCATCTTACTCCCACGGAACCGCTGGTAGTTTCGAACTGCTGACCCTGTGGTTCACAGCCCAATTCGTAACCACTACGCTACCGGAGCTCCTTGTTTCTCTCTACTATTTAAAAAATCCTTTTAGTCACTCATTGCTATGCCCTATTAAATTTTAAATAGCTATTCAAACTTTATTCACTCTTTGCCCTCAACTATTAGAGGTATTTCTCTTTACTGATAAAAATGAGACTATTTAATGTTAGCCCCTCAACTTATTCCCTAGCTCAATATACTTGTGGTTCTTCATAATACTCCCTCTTCCCAAGCTCTGTAACATTTTCATTTTTCTTTAGCTGAGAGTATAACTTTACCTGAGCTCTTGCACTTATCTTCCTCATAACTTGAACTACTAGGCTCCCTTTCTCTCCATTATTCTGCCTTCCACCTTTGAACCATTCCGTCTTCACTATAACATTTAAAGAGACTAATCTCTATCTAATGGTCTCATTTCATCTTCAATCATTCTTCTATAAAATCAACCTTCTTCTATAAAACAATTAATAACCCCACAATGCCAAACCCAAGGCTGTCCTATATGCACTCTTAATTGTCCTTATGTCTCTAAAACATTTGGAACAGGTGACTAACATTAATCTCTCTCTTTCCCCTGTGTCAAGACACTTGATTACCTTAGTTCTCCTACTACTACTTTCTACAATGCCACTTATTCTCTTATCTCCTTTACTACCTACTCCTATTTACTCTTCTCCAGCACCTAATATCACTGCTTTCTACTGGAGGGGGTTTCAATGAGTCTGTGTAAAAATGCAACTAAAATGTAATGGCATTTATCCACAAACTTTTGAAGCACCCTAACGTATGCCTTGATGA